AAGTGAAACTATTTCGATTTAAAGTACCATGAACAGTATTTAGCCAAGATAAAATAGGCCACTTTGTAGAGAATTTCACGATGCATCTTTCTATGATAAAATCGTGCCTTTTGGATGAACGAAAAATAGAGTTAGAGATAAAATATTGACAGGGCCATTTATTCTGCTGCACCAGTATTATTTGTAGGTACGTTTTTTGAGACTATAAATCAATAATTCTATTATAAAAGCTGATGTCTTGAGAAATTTGATGTATCAACAAAAATTTTTTGTTATTGTAATCTTGCCTAAAGTGTATTAATTATTACTTTTTTTATTTGTTAAAAATAGATTCGAACATGGCATGCGTCAATGATTATCGGTGAAATAATAAGTTTTGCTGCTTACGTTCTTTCATTAATTATTTTCAAATCTTATTTTGATGGTGCATTTCTTGAATCATGGCCTTTCATATGGCGTGTTGTAGTTATTACCTTAATATCATGTTTACCACTTTATATTCTTAAATTTATTCAAATAAAATTTAAACCACCTATTCATGAAAAACTCACACAACTTACCAAATAAATAATAACTATAATTTTTTTATTTATTCGTTTTTTTAATTTAGTATTCCTTTTTTATTTTTTTTTCTATCTATTAAAATATATGTATTAGACTAAATAAATACATTCACGCAAAAATCGGTATTATCTAGATAAATCGATCATTTTTAATACATATATTGAATTATATGTTTTTATCATCATCAACATGATGATAGAAGTGTGTGGATGTGAGCCTGGATGCGGGCGCAGATGTGAATATAGCTATCAATGGGATTGTGAGTGTGGACAACAAAAAGATGGACATTCACATTCTTCCCACACTCAACTTTTCATTTTAATGACAATTCAATTCTGAAGAAAAGGTACGAATACAAAACAGAATGAGAGAAAGCGTGTGTAATACAGTTATTTCTATGCATAGTTCAAAGTATAGACGTACAGGCAGGCATTTTTCACTTCTGCGTTGATCCGAGGAAGACTATTGTTTTCTTCGTTTCTTCTTGATGTCATTTTTCAATAGAATATGCGTTTCTGAATGCATGTATTCAGACATAAGAAAACAATAGTCTTTGTTTCTTTTCTAAGGCAACTTAGCAAGAGAGGAAAACAAATTCCTTGTATACACTTATACAATCGTTGATTATTCTCTATTTTATCGTTCATACACTTAGTAATATTCATTTTCTATTGTTGTATATTGTCAAAATAATTTCTTTGTTGGACTTTATTGTATTCCATAGAAAGTATGAATTCCCATATTCTTACAAATGATTTAAGACTCTTTCATGGAAGACCTAGTATAAGTAAAATAAAGAAGTATATTGAACATGTATCATATGTAGGTAGCAATGACGACGCAAAGTAAATTTTTTAGAGGAAAAATTAGTTATTTCTTAGAGTTTTTTTTTTCTAAAAGAACTTAATACTTCGTTGGTTCGTTTCTCATATTCATATGAGCAGTAAAGTGATACCTAAATATGTTGTGCTGTATATGTTAGCATCTACTGCATGGAAACAGGAGAAGTAGCAACTTCTTATCACTTCCAGAACTTGTTTGTAGAGGAAACCATGGCTATTCTTTGTAATGTTGTTGTGCTATCTATAATAAATGCTTGTTTTCCTTTAACAAAATTTTCGTTCATATTTAGTGTTGTTTTAAAGTACTAGCTATTCGAAACTTGAGCAAAACTTTTTTCCTGCTTTTTGATTTAGTTGGATACACTTCATCGGGTTATCATGAGGTCCATAAATATGGTGAGATTACTCTTTTTTAACTTTTTCTTCACAGATCGTTAGGTAGATCTTACATTTGAAGAACATGTGCTTATGATGATATTTAGATAAACAGCCTATCTTGAGGTATTACCACTGAGAATTTGTTAAAAAAATGGCCGAATGACTCTGTTATCCTTCTTTATGACTAGCACCGAAGCGTATCTTTTTTTATTGAACTCAACTGATTTCTCTCTCTGCTACACTTTGTTTTTGAGTAGTTTTCTATGAAAACAGCCAGTGTTTTATCCAAATTTTTCACACCGGATGTGCCAATTTAGTTGTCGAGAGGGCAAGCAAGAACTTTTCTTTTGAAAAGCTATCGTAATGAAAAGGTAGTCTAACAGTTTCAACCCTCTCTGTAAATCGCTGATATCTATACAAATACTCATATGAACAATACATCGAAATATACAATTTTGTAGAAGAAGATTAGAGCTATCATCCGAAAAAAAGATACTTCGAAAGGTATCGACATCATGAGTAGTTATGGTTGCTTTATTGATCATGTCTCAACAGTGTACACCTGACATTTACTTTGCAAAAACAAACTATACTTGTAACATCTTAAGAGAAATATTGTTATTGAAGTAGTATTAAATGGTTTGATAGAGTTCGATAAGCTCTACTACAATATGAATGTTTAAAAATATTCTGATCTATAATTAATTAAATTTCTAACCTAATATCTTGAGTATCCGATTATTCTACTGTCAGTAAAAAGTATCATAGAATCGAGAAGATTTTTTATCAGTTTCACTGAAAAAAATCACTAGGTTGCCCTTAAATCTCTTTTCAACTACTGAACAAATATAATATTTTTGAATTTCAAATAATATATACCGCATAAAAAGAAAATTTTTTATTTGAACCATTGAAAAACATCATTTGTAATTTTTTTTTTTTTGATAGCATCGAATAATTATATGTCAATACAACTCATGATTTTCACTAATCAAAAACAAAAAAATAATAAATTTTACTCGTTAATTAACACATGAAGAAAGAGCAATGAAGCATAAACAAATGTTTTAGCTCGTACATTGTCACAAATATTTTCATTACAAACATCTATGTTTATAAGTTTTTACTTCTTACTTTGTTTCTTTTATTGTTGTTTCAATATGTAAATACATGCAAAAATATTCTTGTTCAACATTGTACTGATCTATTAATTGGATTCAAATCTATATCAATAATGAAATGTATTCAACTTATTCCTATTCAATATGATTCATCATTTGTCTACTCAATAGATTATTATATTATCTCAAAAGTTCATAAATGTTATAATATTGTCTCATACAATTCTTCACAAATAATACTTTTTTCTAATGAATGTCGTGAATTATGTTTAGATGAATATTGTCTTCTTTTCGATAATCAATCGAATCGATCGATTATTAATATATTCTATTCACAATCATTAAACTATGAAGAAATTAATTCTACAACAAATAATATATCATCGTATGATTATTTCTTATTGGACAAATGTGGTACAACAAATCCTACTAATAAAATATTATTAATTGTTATTTTTATACTTATTGCTATTGTTGTTATATTAACAATAGCAGTTATTTTGAAGTATTGCATTACTTACCAACTAAGAAAAGATTCAAGTTATGATCCATATGCTTGGCGATGGATAATTGATTGTTTTTTTTGTGTCGAATTCATCGAGAAAATACACATAAGAGAAATTCAAGTATGGTAGAAGATTACAATCAATCAAGAATAGATGAAAATCGATCTCTTTCAAAAAATAATTTTATTATTTCAGTACCATTGCATACAATAATGCATGATAGTACCAATAATACACGAGAACAACGCAATAATGAAAGTCAAACGAGTCGTTACAATTCAAATCTACAATTTTCTGGTTTTTCATATAAAAGTAGTAGTCAAGATCAGCCGAAAATCAATAATACAGAATATCGTGGCTTTTACACTGATGTAGACAATGATCATTTTCCACATATCATTGAAAATCATAATCATGTGTCATTACCATCTCAGCCTCTGCTTCGTAAATTATCATCTACAGTTCGTGATACTTTGACGTTAAATTCAAATGCAAGTGGATACGAAGCATTAGAAGAAAAACTCGCCACCATTAGTCTTTAGATATTGAGAAATTCCATGTTTTTTTTTATATCTATAACTTATATCATATAAAAACTATTGATTTCCACATTGAAAAAATAAAGTAAATAAACCATTCGATAGAGACAACCTACATTTTCGTGTCTTCTTATTACAGTAAAAACTCTTTCAGTGAGCATTCTGTTCTACGGGACTTTTCCTAGTTCTACGAACAGAGCTTTTCTACCTTTTTCCTTCTCTTTGAAGAAAACATCTTGACTGTGAATGTAAACACATTTTTTCTGGTTCCATCTATACATATTGGTTATGATAACGTGAACATCAATTGAAGACACCACTTAAATCACTTATTTACTTATATTGCACCTCCTGGAAAAATAGGTTATTAGAGTATCTACCCCATGTTTTGATGATCAAGTACTCAATTGTATTGAATGATTTCAGACAATAAGATCATTTCTAATATATTTCTTAAACGTGAAGTGTAAGTTGATGATGATCATTGATGAATAATTAATTCAGGACATTGTAATGTTTTTTTCGCATCAATGTGCAGATTGATCATCGACGACGAACAAAAAACATAATCGATAGGACGATCATTTTATCATTATTCTACTATGTTTTCGTTGATATTCACATTTTTTTCCAGATTTCTGTAAAAAGTTTAGCGTTGTCAATGTGGATGTAAATGTACTTATCCTCTTTGCACCACACTAGCACCCAATGAATAGAACTTGAATCACAGCATTCAAAAAAATTAGTTCATATTCAACGAAAAGAAAAAAAAAGGACTCGCTGGTGAACTAGATGATTCTAGTCTTTAGTATCTGAACAAGAACAAAAGAATAAATTAACAAGAAATAACAAAAAGGACAATACAAGTATTTTAATTTTTAATAATCAATACAATACGTTTAACATTAAGCTATATAACATGATCAAAATTTTTTTTTGTGCATGTTCAACTTGTAAATCTTTTGATAATGGAGAACATCAAAACTCGATTAGCAATCCTTTTTTTATTTTATCTTATCATTCTTTTGTTTTTAGTGTATTAACTTTCAGATGTTGTAAGACTAATATTAACTTCATTAATAACATTTACCGTGCTCCCAATGTGATACATATATTAGATCGGTCACGGTGACAAAAACCAACAAATCTACGTCATGCCAAGCTGATTAACATTTTTTTATCGATTTCACATGAAAATTCATAATTTACATAGAAACATATTCTAAATCGTTGATCTTTGACACATTGTATTTTATATTTTAATACCGTAGGGATCACGCAAATAGTCTATATATTGTACATCTGATATTAAATCGTTCACATGACATGTACATGTTTATAACGAATTATTAATATTTTGTCATCTTTGAAAAAATCTAACTCGTTTTTTTTCCACTATACGATTTCAAATATGTGTACCATTACCTACATCAGTGGATGGCCTCATCATGTAAGTAAGCATGTTGTTGAATCGTTTACATAAACGAGGAGTTATTCATTAACTATCATCTAAATGTTTTTTGCGTATCTATTGGTTCAATAAGTACAGTTGACTGATAAATTGGGAAGATAAATCTTATGATAAAATCTGTTCTTGTATATGTTGTTTTTTTATGGCTCGTTTTTTTTCTAATTTATTCCAGCAATATTCTTTAGAATCCCATATTTCAATTATATAAACTGATATAAGATCAGTTTTATCTTATGATGATCCTATAGCTAGTAATCATATTAAAGTTATTGATTGGCTCTTTAACTTTTCCGATTTCAACATCACATCATTTTTTTAATAGAACTAACGCAAATAGGTTTTTTTGTGAAAGTCTTTGACATGGATTGATTGAATTGTATACGTATTATTTATCCTATGATCCACTCTTTAAAGATTATTTTCATTTCTAATGCTTAAATCCGACAAAAACAATTTAAACTTTAAGTTATTTTTTTGTACAAGAAGACTATTGATTTGATGAAATTTTTTCTTAGTAGAATTCAATTAGCTATAAGAACATCACGATATTCGAGAATATAAAATGAAGTATTACTTGAACCCCCTGATAACGATGGTTTTTTTTTTATTATTAATTTTAAAAACTGAATCTATTGAGTCGATGAATCGTTGAAAGTTAATTAATTAATTTACTATTTTGTTTTTTTTCTAGTTGAACTATCATTGTTTCACTATATCCGATAAAATTTATTACTTTACTAAAATAATGATAATAGACATTTTTAATTGAATTTTGTTACGCCCCAAAAAAAATCGTTGTTATTGTTGGTAAAATTTGTATTTGTATGTATTCATTATTTTTACCTTTTTTTTTCTATCACAAATTTCTAATAATTAGGATGTGGGTGTGTGTGATAGTCTTCGATCTATACCCACACCCTCATTAGACAATATTCGTAAAAGTTCGAACAGATCTATTGCCTTATTATTTGATGACCTTCGTATTACAATTGACAAGCATCAAATGCAAACGGGAACAATATTCCGATCATCGTAGACTTCAAACGATCACGAATAATTCATTTTCAACGTCTTTTTGGACCTTAACGAAACTATTCATATCATCTTTCAATTTATTCTGAGAGGTGGACGCCAAAAAACAAAATATATTTTATCACGAATGTCTCAAAAACTAGATGAATATAGTTTCTAGTATATCAGAAAAAGATTTTAGATCGATCTATTTATTTGTTTAGTTTTTATTGATGATACAACTGCAGCATGCTGCTTTTCATTCTTTCAAAAGTATCCAACTATACATTTTGCAAAGAATAATATTCACCTAATTTTATTGTTTAATGTATCGTTAACAAGAGCAGTAAAAATTGCGTTAGATGTTATATTTGAATCGGAATTTCATGTGGAAAAATTGTTTTATTCATCTTCTATGTATACACATATCATTGGTAGATGTTTTTATATTGTTTTATTCACGCATTGAAGAAGGTTTCTTCGATGTGTGAATAAAACAGTACAAGTACTAGTAAGTGAAAAAGAAAACTCGCTAAAGGCTACATAAATGCGATGCAGAGCGGTCTCAATTTTTGTCAATGGAATTTTTATTACCAAAAGAATGATAAACGATTTCACTAAGAGTCGATCCTGTTCTGTCAAAATTTTTCACTGTTTCTCCTACTCACAATCGTTGACTGCAGACCAGCTTGCCAATTTTAATTATCTCGAATAAAAGACGGTAACCAAATGGTCACAATCAGTGCATTTCGAAACTTACTGAAGAAGAGCGAAAACTCATATTGAAGACTCAAAATTGTTTGGATCATCTCAGGATTTTGTTACAGTGAAAAATACGCGACGTGTGGAGGCCGAATGCATACGCAAAGCACTACATAAATATTGTGCTTCGCACCGCATTAAAAACGACTCTTTGCATTTTTGAATTCAATCGAATGATTTGTTTTCTTTTTGTCTTCTCGATTAAAAGCTTCGAATTCAGCTTTTGTACATTGAGCGCCAATCATTTTCTTTCTTTTTCTATTCTAATGAAATCAGAAGGGTTTTGATGAGTGTGCTCTCTGTAATATGAGATATTCTTTTCTTCAATTCTCATTTATTTAAATAGCCTTGAAAATGCGATAAGAAATGAAATTTTTCTCTTATTTCAAACAACATCAACATCAAGCGTAATCAAACTTGAATGTTATTCATTACTATTACATGTTAATACATCTCTTTCAAATGCATAGAAAATTTTGAAAATGTATGCTTTTAATTGGCACATAAATTCTACGCTTTCATATATGAATAATATTTGTAGAATAATTTTTTTTTTCTCGTTGTTAAAGCAACAATTTTACAATTCTATTCGAGTATACCTTTACTTTTAACAACTACAAAAACTATTCAAACTATCATCAATTGACATTACACTTATCTGTTTCATATATTCTGATCTGTTTGGTAGTTTTTTCTGTTTCTTATCACAAAATCAACATATACACAAAAGAAAAAAAAAAGAATTTATTTCTTTGCTGATTTTATCATTTTAATATCATATACAATTGAAAAATGGTAAAAAAGAAGAAAGAAGAAGAGTAGTGATATGTAATAGGACTTATAATAAGAATTTGTTTTTGTATTTTTAGCCACCAAAACGAGATAAAGAACATGCTGCGAAGAAACCTGTCAAGACTGAGAGACAGAAAAAAGCTGAAGCTGAAATGATGAAAACACTTATTACTCAATATGTAAGTTAAACAAGATGAAATATTTGAAAATCTAATTTTTTTTTTTGATTCTTAGAATGGTGTTCTAACACCCAATGAATTAAAAGGTAAATATGAATAATATTTTATTATTTATCTACATACTTAACTTGATATTAATATTAATAAATATCTGCTGAAATGAATAGATCAGATTAACTTTATTTTCACCTTAGGATTCTTTTATCAAAGTTAAATATTTTGTCAAAAATGATGTTATTGTTTTTAATATATTGACATTTTGAAGATAAAGTTTACCTTCAGATAGATAAGGTTTTAAAAGAGCTGATAGATGAAATTATGATTTCTTCTTTTTCTCTGTCTATCCTGAATGTTAATTTGACGATAGAGATGTGCAAGTTCGGATCTATGTGAAAAAAAGTCCTTTCAACCCAAATCAAAGACTTTATTTAAATATTATATGGCTTCAAGCAAATTATCTTATAAATCATATAGAGTACAACATAATTCAAGAGAGATAACCTTAAAAAATCGCTTACTATCGACTAAATAAATCAAGAAACCGAATATTGAAGAATTTTTTAGATATGATACAAATAAATTCTACAATAGCGTTCTCTAGAGTGGAACCAGATTGAATTTATTGAGGCCGTAAGGAGCTGTTCGATTAAAATATCAAATACAATGTACCTGTTGTTGCTTAATTATCGGAAGACTTTTTGCTTCTATCTACAATTTCTACTTCTATAATAAGGGCTACTAAACTACTAAAAAAGTATCGTATTTGAACAGTAAAAAGCTAAGAATAT